AATGAAATAATGAATGCGAAATCACTTTGATGATATAGATTTAGAATATGTTGAAAATGCTGGGTTCTATCACAGTACAAACAAGAAAATGATAAAGCAAACATGTTTACAGAAATTCAGAGATTGCTGTTGAGCAAACACTGGGAGCTTGAGTGGTTTCATATCTCACTTGATTCTCTTCAGAGCCTCCCATTATTTCTGAGCTGGAGATTGAAGATCTCTTCATACCATGGGTATGAATACTTGGGAGATGGGTGTTGTCATGGTCTTACACTTAAGTAGATGGCTCATATATATATATATATATATTTTTTTTTTTTTTTCCCTTCTTTTGGTAAGTATTGGGTTTTCCAGATTTCCTCTTACTATCAATCCAGTTGCCAGTCTCAGCCTGTTTTGGTTGCTCTTCTCAAGGTTGGTTCCCATCTCTCTGTTCACCCAGCTTCTGGCCTGAAGGACTAGATGCTTAAGCCCTGGAGTGGGTCAAGAAATGAACAGCTGGGATCAACAGACTAGCAGGGAGCCCATCTGTGTGATAAACACTTTTAAAAATGAATCTAAATAACTTTGGGGGTTCAGGAGCTAGTTTCTCACTTTTTTTGATTGCTTGTTAGGTGTGATCACCAACTTTGAGACTTACAGAGAAAAAAGGGGGTTTCCTTCATACATACACATCCACACTGGGGGCTTGTCCTTAGAAAAACTTAGGGCAGTATTTCTCAACTAGAGTGAGGCCTTGGAATCAGCTGGATTGGAAAACCCAAGCACCCACCCTCAAAGATTCTGATTCTGGGATAGGGTCTGGGCATCAGAATCCTTTAAATGTCTCGAAGGTTGAACCCCTGGGTCAGAGTCACAGGAGGCACAGGAGTTTAGTTTGACTTCCTCTGCCCCATTTAGTAATTAGACCGAAATGGCTGCAATGGCTGAGAACAGATTTGCAACATCCCAGGAATTGTGGGCATGTAGGGACAAGCAGCAGATGCTTCCCCAGGAAACACATTCATGGTGTGGAAAGGGTGTGTGTTTTGATAAGTTGGGCAACAAGATCAGAGCCCTGAGGCACATCAAAACATTGGGCAGGTGTCCTACTTTACACTTTTGGCAGGTTCCAAGAATTTGCTGCTTCTAACTGACATAAGCCATCAGCTGACAGACGTGCAAGCATTCAAAGCTGACACTCTGAATTTATAGATGAACTTGAGGGAGAAAAAGAACCAAACAGGTTTTGTTTTGAACAGACCCACGGGAGTGAGGTGACGTGGGGTGAGAATGACCCAGCCCGAAACCAGTCAGTCCGACTAAAGATTTGTTCCAAAGGTATGGCAAACCCGGGTGATTGCCCCAAGTGTCCTGGCACTTGTGGGGTCTATAATACAATAAGCCTCAGTCTATAACTTGCCCACTCTCCAAATTGGACTTTCAGAAACACCCCCCCGCTTTTTTTTTTTTTTGAAGTTAAATTGGACTTTCAGAAACCCCCCCCCGCTTTTTTTTTTTTTTTAAACCCCACTTCTACTTACAGATTAAGGCCCATATGAACCTCATTCACTGTTGTAACCCCAGGGCTTGGTAGAATGCCTGGCACAAAGTAGGCACAAAGATAAATCTTTGCCAAATGTTTTGGATTAAACACCCATGTATTTATTCTGCGTCTACTTTATTTTTTTTAAAGAAGATGACCGGTAAGGGGATCTCAACCCTTGGCTTGGTGTTGTCAACACCACGCTCAGCCAGTGAGCCAACCGGCCATTCCTATATAGGATCCAAACCCGTGGCCTTGGTGTTATCAGCACCGCACTCTTCCGAGTGAGCCACGGGCTGGCACCTGTGTCTACTTTATAAACCTGCTGAACCTGCAGCTAGGTTACCCCAAAAGCTGCAGCAGCGGACTTCCCACAAGGGAGTGGCCCAAACCATCCCAAGAAGGGGAGGTTGGGATTCCAAAGAAAGAAGCACTAACACCAGGGTGATCAGTCCAAAGCATTTATAAGGGGAACTTACTTACAGCAGAGTGCTGCAGCATAGCCTCGTGACAAGACAGCAAGAAAACGGATGCTCTACCTGGGTACGTCCACAGCAAAGGGGGTAGGGTATGGAGTTTACACGAGGGTTTAAGGAATTTGGTTCAGGGCCAGGGCCAGTTTCTTTTCAGTATTGTGGGCAACAACCTAGATACCTTTATCAGCACCTGGGAATGTTCAAGACTCCAGCTGTGTTTCAAATTGGTTGGGAGGAATGCTCAGCTGGCTGGGTCACAGAGGGATCAAGGCACTCTGTGATTTTCTCAGAGGACACAGAAAGAAAACTAGGGAAACTGAGGGGCCCTATATTATGCATTTGGCTCCCAGTATTGGTGCTCTACATCCTGAGAGCTGTTTGTTTGCATCAACATTTTCCTATTTGAACTGAGAACCACGAATTGGATTGTGTCAGTGCAACTGACTTTAAAGACCAGCATGGGATAGGCATAGGCTGTACCAGAGGTGTTGTGAGGCTGCCACATGGAAAAGGAACCAGAACACCCAATTGAGAATTTAAAGGGGGTTTTTATTGGCTGACCGGCGACTGTCCCTCCAAGAAGGTCTCGGAAGAGAGCAGCCCTGACTTGAAGTTTAGGGGTTTTTTATTTTTTTTTATTTTTTATTTATTTTTTAAAAAGATGACCGGTAAGGGGATCTCAACCCTTGGCTTGGTGTTGTCAGCACCACGCTCAGCTAGTGAGCAAACCGGCCATCCCTATATAGGATCCGAACCTGTGGCCTTGGTGTTATCAGCACCGCACTCTACCGAGTGAGCCACGGGCCGGCCTTTAGGGGTTTTTTAAAAAGGTACATTTTTACATTAGTCACACAGTTAAAATTATCAAATAGTCACACGCATACACACATACCCTCCTGGCATGAGGAGGGGGTTTGGGGAGGCCTAGCACAAGCTGATAACAGAAGCTGAAACAAGCCAGTTAATTGTTCAGGGGAGCTTGGGTGGGGAACAGCAAACAAAATTCAAACTTCTCTAAGTGCAGGCTAATATTTAGCTTTTAACTTTTATCAAGGGGGCTGAAGAGCTAGGGGGGATTTTTAAACAACATTTCTTAAGCAATTCAAACACTATTTAAACTTAATCTACCTTGTCACACAACAAGCAGTTTTACAGAAGCCAATTGCGCATGTTATGAAACTGGGGGTCACCCTATCTCAGAGATCCTGAAGGGGGTATTATTTTAACTCCTGTTCTCTAGTTCTGAGCTGTTGTGGGCACTTTGTAAATGCTAATGAATGATGAGGTTGGAGCTATACTGAGTGCAGAAGGGATAAAGTTGAAAGATACTTGGATGATGATAATAAAAAGGAATTAGAAAAAGAAAGTGCTCAGACTGAAAACAGGCTGTCCAGTTTATAAACCATTATATTTAAAAATACATACTGTAAGGGTCCTTTTTGAGGTCAAAGTCTTGAACCCATTAAATACAGCCTGGCTATTATCTAGCTGGATGTTCTAAGCAAGCTTCTTAAATTTTGGGGAAACAGATCACACCTTCACTAAAATAGCAATTGGCTAGCCAGGTACATCTTATTTGACTATGATTAGCATCAGAAAGTCCCTGTGCTTAAATATATCTCATTTTGCCAAATTAGATGAACAAACTGCATCTTTTAAGATGCAGTAATTTTTCTTAAGATCCATGGCTAGGAGAACATAGTGGTTTTTTCTTTCTCTCTCTCTCTCTTTTTCTTTTTAAAAGGTTACCAGTAAGGGGATCTTAACCCTTGGCTTCGTGTTGTCAGCACCACGCTCTCCCAGGGGAGCCAAGGGCTGGCCCTAGAACTTAGTGGTTTGAATTGGATTGGGAGGTGGCGGGGGTGGGGTGGGGTGGTGATGGTAGAGAAAAACTGAGGATTAAAAAACGAATAAGGTGGATTTGTAAAAAGTTAGTGTATATATATATCCTGTAACAATAGTTTATACACACACCGTGAGTGTAAAGTAATGAGATTGATTTGAACCATTTATCGTAATTATTCATGTTCACAGAAGTCAGCGTTCTCTCAAAGCATTCACTTTGGGTTGCTTACACTTTAGATAAGTTGGCCTGTCCCCCTTCCCTGCACCTTGCTGGCATAACCACTGAATGATGTCCTCTCTCTCCCTGTTTTTCACTTACAAATGAGGCAGAAAGGGGAATAAGGAAGCAGCCTTCATTCTCACAGCAAACTTACTGCGCACTTACCACGTGCAAGGCGCTGTGCTGGGCGCAATAAAACCTGGGTTTGCCCCTCAAGGGTGTCTGGAGGGGGGTCACGTAATTATAAAACGGTGTGATAAAAGGCTGTCGTTGAAGTCAAGGACCCGTGGGGACACAGAGAGGAAGTGATTAACCTGATCCGTGTGGGTGTCACAGACGCCTTCGCGGGAAGCCAACTTTTGAATCCAGTGCTAGCGAAGCTGGAGGGTGGGAGGACAGGAAGGGACCGCAGCTTGGAGAACACAAAGTAACAGCGACAGGACGAGAGGACCGCCAGGAGCAAAGGCCGGACAGGAGGGCAGGTTACGCGGCTCAGTGACTCGAACTCGGGAAGACGCCCCCCTTCCCTGGGTCCCCGAGCAGCTGCAGGCCGCGGGCCCGCCAGCAGGAGCGCGCGGCGGCAGCGGCCTCCCGGGCGCAGATGGCCGCCCCGTCCAGCGCCGAGCGCGCCTCGAGGAGGAGTCCGGAGCTAGCGGGAGGGGCCTAGCCGGCCAGCGGCCCGCAGGGTCCCCGGCAGGGAGGCCGGGCCGGGACAGTTATTCCCGACATGCTCCTCCCCGCGAGGATTTCAAACCCTCCGCAGCCCCCACAGCCCGCCCTCGCCCCGGGCCTGCCCTAGCAACAGGCGGCGGCCAGCTTCCCATTGGCCAGCCCCCCCGCCCTCGAGTTCTCATTGGCCAGTCCCCCGCCCTCGAGTTCTCATTGGCCGCGCAGCCTCCCGGCCCCGCTTCTGCGCTCGCCGCTGCCTCCATTTTGTCGGTAGAGGCAGCCGGAGGAGGCCGTGTCGGAGAACGGAGACTCTGGTGTGGTCGGTAGCTAGCTTGTCGGTGCTCGTGGGTTTTGTTCGAATCGTGCCTTGTCTCTCCCTGGAAGGGGAGGGAGGCTTCGACGTCGACAGACAGCCGCCGCCGCAGTCCCGAGCCTGAAGTCGGTGAGTGGTGGCGGCGCCGCGGGCGCGGCCATGTTGGCGGCCGCGCTCCCCATTGTTGGGGGAAGGAGGCGAGCGGCCGGAGAGACCCGAGCCCGGGTGGGCGCCAGGACCCGGCTCGAGGACCAGGGGGCCACCCGGAAGCGTGCGGCTGAGGCGGCGAGCTTTCCGGATTCGAGTTGTCAGTGACTCAGAGTCCGGGAACTCGGGATTTGCTAAATGTTGTCAGGACCGTCGGTTGGAAGGCTCTCAACCTTTGGAAGGAAGAGGGCTTACCGTGTCTTTGGTAACTTGGATTAAGTGAAAATGAAACCGTGAATGCTAACTGGTAACTGTAGGGAGCCGTTAGGTTGTTAGGGCTTGTGAAAACGTATTTTCTTTTAAAACGGGGAGTAGAGGGTGTTGGTAATCAGAGAAAACACCTCGCATGATGTAGACATTGGGAGTGGAGGCTTTGTGTGAAAACGTTTGTGGTGTGTCGAAAGATTGGTAAATTCTGGTGCAACTTTACAAACGTGGTCTCTTTAGAAGATCAGTTTTAAGCCAATTTCTTGACTGTAAAGGTTAACGCTTCCCTAGTTTGACTTAAAACTTTGGTCACAAAATACGTGAGAACCTGAAAGGTCTTTCCTAGGAAAAAGATACAACAAACAAAACTTGTTGAGGGACTTGCAGGCTCCCTTACAAAAATCCCCCAGGAGGTCCTGGGTCATCTCAAGGATGGGAAGAGTTCTTAAATGATAATGATTATGAGGTCAAAGAAAACCATCTTCAGAGACATATTATTTTCTAACTTTTAGCTCAGGAAGTAGCCATTCCTTACAACTATTTCTGTAGTAAATCTAAATGATTTCTTATCACTTTCTTCCGGGTTTTTTTTTTTTTTTTTTAGCAGCAATACACATAAAATCTGAAAAATAATAAAAGCAATATGCTTTTTGAAAACCAACATTGCCATAATTTTCTTGAATATATTTCTAAAACATTTCATAAATATCTTCATATTTACCCTTATCAAACTTAGTTATATATTTATTTGTTTTATGGCAGGGCCATTGCCTTAAAATATTTATTGATTTTTTTTTTTTTTTTTTTTTTTTGGCGGCTGTCCAGTATAGGGATCCACACCGTTGGCCTTGGTGTTATAACGCCGTGTTCTAGTCAGTTGAGCTAACCTACCAGCCCTCTCCCGTATTTTTGAATTGAAATAATGCAGTGATCTTTACTTATTTCTAGCTAGGACTTCTCTCAAACTTGTGTGCTGAGGACACTCAGATGTTGGCCTCAGCTCCCAGGCTGAACTCAACAGATTGGCCCATGAAAACTTCTGTATTGAGACAAAGGAAAGGATCCACCAGAAGGCAACACCTATTATCCTGGGCTTGGCAGCAAGGAAGAGGACAGGTAGTGGAAATCCTGCAATCTGAAAAGCAGACTGAAAGGTATAAAAATTCACATGAAAGTGGGGCAAACAATTTACGATGGACTCATCCTAAACCAATTTTTTTTTAAGTAGAGGATTACTCTGATTTTGTGGGTAGACTGATTTTTCTTAGGGAAGTTAAAGTCTGCATATAATGAAGTGTGAACAGCTTGTTTTAATTTTTGAGTTAAAACAACTGCACAGCCTATTTTTGGGTCTTCCCCAAGATTTCTAGAGTTGCATGTTGGGGCTATAGAAACTTAAAGAAAAATTTTGAACTTTTTTTTATTAGACTTTTACTCAATATTTGTTCCCATTCACTTAACAGGTGACAAAGAAGCTGAAGATGGGTGGTGGAGAGAGGTGTAACATTCCAGCCCCTCAATCTAGAAACGTTAGTAAGAACCAACAGCAGCTTAATAGACAGAAGATCAAGGATCAGAATTCCCAGATGAAGATTGTTCATAAGAAAAAAGAAAGAGGACATGGTTATAACTCATCAGCAGCGGCATGGCAGGCCATGCAAAATGGGGGGAAAAACAAAAATTTTCCAAATAATCAAACTTGGAACACTAGCTTAACAAGTTCCAGCTTGCTTTTTAAGTCTCAAGCCAATCAGAACTATGCTGGAGCCAAATTTAGTGAGCCACCATCACCAAGTGTTCTTCCCAAACCACCAAGCCACTGGGTTCCTGTTTCCTTTAATCCTTCAGATAAAGAAATAATGACATTTCAACTTAAAACCTTACTTAAGGTACAGGTATAAAATAAGATAAAATACTGTTTAAATTTAGTTATGTTTAGGGATAGTTGTCAATTGGTCTGAAACAAATTCACTAGGGGATTTGTGTAAAATTGCTAATTAATGTAAAAATATAATTAGACTTCATCTTGTTTGTTTTGTGTTGTCTGCACTGTGATGTAATGGTAGTATCAGTGCAACTTAAAATAACTAAATTAATAATTGTACTTAACAGTTTTTAATTAAGTAGCTTTTAAAGGAAACCAAGTTTAGATTTGGGAGATGGTAAAGAAATCAACTTTTCTATTGTGTGTTGGAGAAAAATAATTAAGATTATGAAACTGAATCATTATAAGCATCAAGCTAAGACATGGAAGGACTGAGAACTAGTTGAACATTTGAAAGTTTAATGTCCTACAGACACCTAAACCAGTAATAATAGGCCAACAACCTGATGCACTGCCAAAAGAAAATATGAAATTTTCCCAATGAATAGTTGCAGTTTAATAAATTGTACATTGGTGAATGTGGAAAGAGCACTCCAGGCTTATTTGAATGAGGCACAGTATATTCAAAGGCCCTGTTTCTTAAATACAGTGGCTAGGTGTCTGCCAATAAATGCACCAAAACCCTTTTAAAAAATAGAAACAGTATTTGATGGTCACTCAGTAGCTTTCAGAATACATTTTTGTATTACTGTACTGCATAAGCTATTCTGACAGTGATCTGGCCTCATGTCCGTACAAAACTTGCTTAAAGTTGGGAGTTTTAAGAGTGAAAGTTCTAAGTACCTAGGGAAGAAAGAGCCATGTAAATACACGTTAACAAACTTGTAGCATATGTAAAGTTTTCTTGGCCTTTATCTTACAAGAATTGAATATTTTAGTATGAATTTGCTGAATATAAGAACATGGTCTGTTTTTATACTATGGCCTAATTTTAAAGGTCCAAAATAATTTTTTAAAGTTTGCCCTTGTGCTAAAGTGCCAGTATATGTATGTTATGATTTGGTTGTAAACTATATTTCCAAGTAAACCCTACTGTGTGTATAACTATCTGTAGAACTTTAGTTAAGTTTTATAACTAAAATGATTTAAGCTGCTAAAACACTTCCTAGTTTTAAGAGATGTGAAATGCAGTACAGGGCTTCCCCCCTACCGTCACCTTAACCCAAAGATGAACTATTAAAGGGTCCTTCCAACTTTAAAGATTCATTTTGGCTTTCACCAGTTCCTGTAAACCATGATAAAAGTATAGCTTATTGTATGGTGGCACTGTCTTGTTTGTCATGAGTGCCACCCAGGGGACCACTTATGCAAAAGATGTAATCTCTTGCATAATACCTCGATAAGCATGTTCTACCAACTTTAAGGGTAAATGCTAAATATAAGTTAACCCAATAGCAAGTTGAAGAAAAAAGTATGTGGGTCAATTTAAAAATTCTGATAATGCCCTATTTTCTAATGTGGCACCCCTTTTGGTGTTTATAAGCAGAATGAAGTTGCATTTCTCCAAATTCAGATGAAATAATACTGCCCAAGTCAAATATCGATATTCTAAAGACAAGTTTATGTAGTACTTAATGTACAAAATTTGAAGCATGAAATTGAAAATAAAATCGCTTTTCTCCCCAGTGGCTTGTTTTTATTTAAAAACATTAAGGGCTAGCCACTTAGCTCAGTTGGTTAGAGGGCTGTTTTATAACACCAAGATCAAGGGTTTGGATACCCCTTAAAAAAAAAAAAGTGTCCTGACTGCCTAATATTTATTCTTAGAATGCAAGAAACTGAAATATGATACAACTATTGGCTTGAAAAGAGGCAACTAATCTAATTGATAGGATATTTCGTTTCACAGCTATGCAATTAAGCAACTACTTGGGACTCTTCTCCCAGCAGTGCTAACAGTTAAAAACCCAAAAAACCACAGAATACTTGCAAACGGTTTTGAAAGTCAAGTTGAGTAAAGCAGGCTTAATTACCTTTTTCTACATCCTAGGATGTTAGGCTAATAAAAAAAAAAATTAGCACAAAGGAATTACTTAAATTGACAAGTTTTTACACAAGGGAGCCTTTGGAAAAAAACACAAGAACCACACACTTGCTTTCAAATCCATTTTCCAAATGTCAGGGCAGTTTAAACTAGTTCAAGAGTAATCCTTTAAATTCTATACTAGTAATACCACGGCAAGGCTATATAATTCTTCACATAAACTGTAGAAAATAGGTTTGAAGTTGAGGTAGAACCACTATTTGGGTCTTCATTTTTTTTTTCCCTGTTATATTCCCAGTACAATTCCTATGATAACAATGCCAAGGACTGCCAAATTCCTTTCTGTACTGCACTGAAATTTCACTAAACAATTCTCAGCCTAGGTGTTAGTTTTTGATCTACACACAAATACACTAGATTTTTGGTTTGGGATTGACTCAAACCTGGTAAAAGTGCTCAGAATGGAAGGTAGGAGTGGAAAAGTCTCTTGATTAAAATTCAGTAGCTTCAGGGTACCTGAATAAAAGGTCAATGATCATATGAACATCTCACACCTTAGGTACTAATAAAGAGATGGTTGGCATACTAAGTACAGTGACAGGAACTTCCCAGATCAATGCACTGTGAGAACCAAAAAACGGTTGGTACAGAGAACCTATCATGTAGGGCTGCTTCAAATAGCTGTACTGTGAACCTTAAGAAAATGTTATAATTTCAATGTCAAAACGGTTGGTACAGAGAACCTATCATGTAGGGCTGCTTCAAATAGCTGTACTGTGAACCTTCAGAAAATGTTATAATTTCAATGTCATCTTTTTTTTTTTAAAAGATGACCGGTAAGGGGATCTTAACCCTTGACTTGGTGTTGTCAGCACCACTCAGCCAGTGAGCGAACCGGCCATCCCTATGTGGGATACGAACCCGGGGCCTTGGTGTTATCAGCACTGCACTCTCCCGAGTGAGACACAGGCCGGCCCTCAATGTCATCTTTCTGATGGCAGTATACATAGTATGATGGAATCTGGACCTATAACCTATCCCTAAAATGACATTATCTTCCCCCAAACAAGCAAAAGGTGGGAAGAAAACAAGGGGTTTTTAATAAATTTTTACAAACTTTCTAGTGTTTTAGTTGCATTCTCATAGGCAATAACTTTGTAAAGCAAGGACAGATTACATCTCTTAAAACCTCCCACACAAATGAGGGAGAAAACTACCCGGGTAGTCACAACCCTGTAAAGTAGAGGAAATCCTGAAGAAACAAGATTTTCTTGGTTCCTAGACCAGTTTATTATTTTACTCTTCAGCATTCAAAGAAATGTGATCTGCAGAAAACTAGATACAAAGTCCTTTTACTTCTTTACAAACTACGGCCAACTATCAATAAAATGAATTTACATGCCTTGCTTTTCATTCCAAAAAAGAAAAACCCTCACCTTTAATACAAGGGTGAAACAGCTGTTACAAATGCACAGAGACATAATAAACACTGTTAGAGGAAAAGGGCAGAGGAAAAGAAAAATCAAGAGAAGAATCCTTTTCCATAGTGACTAGCAGAATGTCCTGTAGATGTCAATAACTGGAGACAAACAGGTTGCTTATCAGTCTTCACTATCTAAAAAGAATAGTTCACTCCTGGGACTCTTATTTCTGAGCTATTGCTCAAGTCATAGCCTCTCCATTTTGAAATACAATCTCAGGACTTTATAAACAGGAACATGGTCAAGATACAATACAATGAAAAATCTCTAAAATTTAGAGGTTGGAATTTGTAAAGCCCCCTGGAAAGACTCAGCCATAACAGCTATGAGATCTTGGGTTGCATTTAATCTCTTTCTCATCCAGAAAAGTTGTAAGGTGGTGAGAAATGAAAGTGTAAACAAAAAGCCTATCACAAGATAGATATTCCATAGAGGACAATTTTCTCACCTGTAAAATGAGTATAGTACCCATTTTCCAGGAGTTTTTAGGATTAAATAGGAATATTTGAAAAGCACATAGCTTGGCATGTTAAGTGCTGAATAATATCAACAGCATTCAATATAAACAGAAACAACTACAGAAGATAACCTAAAGCAACTCATTCTAATTTAACAGCTGCCAAAACCACATGGGCCTTTTCTGATTTACCATATTTAAAACTTTTAGAGAACTATCAAGCATTGTTATTGTACTTGTAAATGACAAAATATTTTCCAACAAAAAATACCAAAAGGCTAGTAAAACAAACAAACAATGTATGTATTCAGCAACATTTTTCTGAACTAAGTATCAACTGAATTTGCAACTAAACCCCCCCTTCCCCCCTTGAATGTTTTAACCTCAATTCAAAAGGAAATGTAGAAGGGATGTAGAGGGCAAAACATCTATGAACTACATATTAAGTTTTAAAAAATATATACAGAACCTCTACCTGTCAGAACCACCGCCTGAATGTTTATGATTATGTAAAGATATAAAATACATTTTATAATTAAACCTAAACTCATCTTTGCTCTAACTCTAAATTCCATAATAACAATTTTACTGTCTTCAGAAAATAAAGCTATAAAATTTTTTTCCCATTTGAAATGAAAACAAAAAAACAAGCAAAGATGAGCCAAATGAAAAATTATGGACTCTAATCTAGAATCTACCACTTACTTGGTGCGTTGACTCATCTTGGGCACGTTTAAAAATTTTTAAAAATAAAATAGAAATAAAAATTTGGACGGCTACTTGGCTCAGTTGGTTAGAGCACAGCCTTGTAACACTAGGGTCAAGGGTTCGGATACCCTGACAGCCAGGGGCCAAAAACAAAACAAAAACCACCATTCCATACCTCCCTTATGTATATTCTGCTATATTTTCAAAATTGTTAGAAATTAAACCTTAAACTCCACTTCCAGATTTTAGATAATGTTACATGAAAAGTTTTAAATATGTGGCAAAAATATGACCAAAATAAAATATGTAATGGAATCATGTATATAGGTAAACAAATTTCGTATCCTAATAAGGAACTGAGGAATCCAAAACATTTTGTGACACTATAAAAGTTATTTATTCACTATACACAGAACATGTTCCCTATAAAATGTACATGTAAATCACTAAAAAGTATAATTTGCTGAACATTTTCTCAATTACAGAACATACTAAATCAGCTGTGATAACAGCTGTCTGCCTCAAGTCTAATTATAGCACCCAGAGTCTCCTTTATATCTAATGCAAAACTATTTTTGGAATTATTTACTAATATGTGTTTGATGAGGCAGAGTTAACAACTTAATATAATTCTAGTATATTACAGTCACTGCACAATAAATCAGTTTATTACAGATGAAAACAAATCATTTTTTCATTATTTGTATTAATAGGATGCAAACAGAAATACTGGATACTTTTAAATGGCAGATAACCACAAAATTACTTATCTTTGATAATATATTCGGTTTTATAATTACAGTAGGATACGGTGTATAATATTGTTATGAATAATACACCTCAAACAAAACAATGAGGCCATACTGTAAGGATTAACTAGATTGTGCTCAGTAAAGTTATTGAATAAGGGAATCATCTATTTTTCTCCCCAGTTATCCAGTACAATGTTTTTTGCCCACAGTAAGGGCTCAATAAATATTTGCTGAATATACTGACTAGGAAAGAGGTGAGAAGAGATGGGAGCTCTTAGGTGGATATCAAGTATGACTGGAATTTACTCAGGGAAAGAGAGTGGTTAAGGAAGATGCAAACTGCATGTGGCATACAAGTAAATAAACTCAGATGCCAACAAAGCAAATGATTAAGCAGAAAACACTGGCACTGGAATAAACAAAGGCAAGATTTGCCAACAATGGCAAAATGGAACTGACTTTTAAGAGATAACTAAGAAAAAGTTTACATTGGACCATGCCTTTTCCACCCAATTCAGTATGAGACAGACCAATAGAGGCACTATTAAGAGACTATGGCTGTCTTCCTTGATATTCAGACATCCTAGTTTCCAATACTTTATTATGACCTGTTACCTGTGAATCAGTATAAACCTATTCATATTTAGGGATTAGTTTCCACAAGTACAAAGTTGAATTTCCTTTTATTTGTCCTAAAATGCTTACTTTCAAACTTGAAGGGACTTCAATTATTCCATGTAGTTTTCGATAACATTCTTTTATCTTTTCAGACCAGAGTCAAAATATTCTTACAGTATTCATACTGCAGCACCTTCCACCCACCCTTTGGTCGCTTGAACTGCCCTTCTTTGGTTCTTTTTCCGCTTTCAGATCTTTCTTGAAGTGTAGTAAGCAGAACTGTACTGGGTATTCCAGCTGCAGTTTGGTCTTAAATAAAAGAAGGATGTTTGTCAGTTTGGTTTTCTTTATTCTTCTCTGTGGTATACAGGATTTTGTTAGTCGAACTGGATGTAGCAGCTTACTGGGCCAAATTTTCAAGCGAATAGCACAATTAGTCCCAGGTCTTTTCCCTGGGTTGTAACTTAACAGCTCATACTCTATGTAGCACCTTTCCTTTCTCACTGAAGCATTTATCTCTCATTTTTCTTCTTGCTCACTTGGCTTCAAAAATAAAAATAAAAAATGCAGAGACATCTTAAGTAAAAAGAGAGGTGACGTGTCAGCCCTCACTTGAGTGTTGATA